AAAGATCTATTAATATTTAACTAATTGTATCTTGTTACTTCACTATATATACTTGCACATATGTAATATCATCCATTCATTTCCTGATGATGACTATATTTTAGTCGAAACAAATTATTGAATAGATCCATCAGTAAACTGTTCTCCCTAGAAGTTCAGAAAGGGACTACACTACAAAAATTGCAACAAAAGATATTGATCAAAATGCTATCACACCTGCTCTTTTAAATCGGATTCATTAATACAGTTAATACTAATTCCACTTTACCGAGCTCAAGCTGTCTGCCTGTCTCCATGACAATATAAACTCAATTTAAACTAAAAAAAAACTACGCGTTTTGTAGCCATATTTCTAAATTTTAAACTTACCTCTGAGTAGCAAATTTCTCTACACTAAACCCAATAGTTGGTACAATATCCGTCGCTTGAGCCTAAAGTGACACGTTCAAAATTAGTATTAAACAAATGGTACTATTAAAAACGCTATAAACTGAAATTTAAGCCGTACTTTATCGGGTTTCAAATGGTTTATTATGGTAGTCTTTCCACTGTTATCTAAGCCCACACACAGCACGCTTGCTTCTTTTCTCTTCATGCCAAGCCAAATCGCTAGTTTGTCGAACATCCCCATGATTTTGCAAAAAAATAAAATAGTTTTTAACCGAACGGGAAAGACGCCATTTGTGTTCTCTCACGAAATTTGAGAATTCCTCAATTCCTTGTCATGGGCTCCAAATTTCCTTGTTTTCCCGAAAATTTCTGTAAATGTCACTGATCTGAATATAAAACTGAATTAAGCCTTGACACTGATCTCCATATAAACTGGATCCAGCCCCCATGGCATGCACTATTCAGTAATAGTTTTGAGATCAGTGCGAGTGGCTTCCCCTGCGCGCGCCAAACCGCGAAACTATAACAACAGCCGTCAATGTTTACACGAAAGTTACATTTGTTACAAAATGGCTTGAAAGATGTTTTCTTTTTGGTCGAATGATGAAGACGAAAACAGCGAGAATAGCAACGAAAGCGACGGAGAAAAAGACAAAAGTAAGCCGTTGTTTTGTGGTCTTTTAAAACCCGTGTTCTTGTTTAAATCCTCTTTCTGCTTTAGCTGGAAAACCAGAGCGATTTCGCTATGTGGATAAGAAAGACGACCGGAAGACCAATTCCAGTCCATTTTCGGACGGTGTTTTTCAAAACAATCGTAGCGTAAAGGCGTTCAAAGAAAAACGAAAGCAAATGGACGGTAAGAGTACTTTAACTTTCAAAATGTGTTTTAAAATGGGGTCTTTAACTTTTTAATTACAAGCGTTTTCTAACGTGTTTATTTTGTGAAAATTTTTAATCTGTGAAGATATGTTGACAGACGTTTGGAGTGTTAGGAAAGATGTGCGTGTTAATAATGCCGTAAAAGCGTCAGACGTTGGCCAGAAATCGTATTATTCAAGACACGGTGGCGTTTCAGGTAAATTTGCAGAGATATAAAATTATTAAAGCGTGACTTTCATTTTTTTTTATCATAGCAATTAAATGTCAATTTTTAAAAATAGGTTAGAGTAAATCTCTTGATAATTTGTTGTTTAATAGCACTCTGTGTCGTTAGCGAGATTGGTAAAGCTTTATAGTTTAATAGATTCGATGCTGACTTACTGTATTGTTTGAAGATAATTTAACCTTTTAAGTGGCAATGCTTCTGATGCATTTTACTCTGTCTAATGCCAGATGATTTTACTTGTCAAGGGGAGAGTGTTGCCACTCAATGGGTTAACATTAAAATATTGATACAATCATGTAACAGCCTGGCCAACCTGGTGATAATTTAGGTCCAAACCAAGATCCATTGTCTGTTGGTAGTAGTGGTGCTATCAGGGGGGAGGAAGAAACAAGGGGGGGGGGGCTTTTTCAGAGTGTATTTTTAGATTCATATAATTTATCCCTTCCGAAAAGTAAAGAAATCACTTCGCCGAAATCACTGAAAATGAGGCTCTATAGCCAAGGTGACTTACTATCCAATTCAATGAATTGATTGAACACATTATTAAGACATTTACATTTTCCTTCAAGTGCCTCCGCAATCCAGGAAATACCAGTATAAAATACTTTCATCTATTATATGGTATTATGTTCCATTTGTACAGGACAGCATGCAGAAACAAACCATGCTAAAGACACTTCAGGTGGTAGTAAAACAATGACTAAGACGTGGAGTGTTCCCAGACAAGGATATTCATACTCGGACAATACAGCTCTAAATCAAGTTGATGTATTGGGTGGTAATAATGCACCTGACATACTAGGTGATAATGTAAAGAATCCTGGTAGCCTGCAAGCAGGCTTTGGCTTACCTTCGGAGATCCATGATCCAGATGTACACAGACAGAATATTGTCAATTCCCTGAAACATGGTGTAGCTGGTTAGTATGTATAACTTGAGTTGAGTTTTCCAAAATCTCACATCTTGTAGCAAGTCAGCCAAGTTGTGTTCACACTGCTTGTCCCAAGTTGTCAACAAGTTTGGAACAAGCTGTTAACAACTTGTAACAACCTTGTTGATATTATCAAACTTGTTGCAAGGTTGTTCCAACAAGTCCGACACAGTCATGATATAACAATATTGTTACAACCTTGTGTGGTCAACCTTGTAACATTCTTGTCATATCATATCTGTATCAGACTTGTTAGAACAACCTTGTAACAAGTCTGATAATGCCATCATGCTCGTTCCAAACCTGTTACAATAACTAGGAAGTAGGAACAAGCAGTTCAAACACAGCTTGTCGAGCGTTTTTATATGTGTACTTTGTTGCATTACTCTAGCTAATGCCAGACGACTTTATGTTCAGAAGTTTTCAGAGTATCTTATTCTCTTCTCAAGGTCATGTAACAAAGCGAGAACTGTCAGCGCGGACAAAAAGAGCACAAAAGTTCAACAATGCTTACCAACGTTCAACTGGGATGGGAATGTACACGCCTCATGTGAGCAAAACATCAGATCAGCATAAGCACTGGAACAGTTGACACATGCTTGTGGAGTAGTCAATGGAGTAGTCAATGGAATGGCCAGAAAATGCTAGAGGGATATCTGCTGCGGTTGCTGGATAGATGGCACATCAGTGGTAGTAGTGGTAGTTAGACATGGTAGAAAACTTGGTAGCATAGCTAGTAATAATTAGCTGTAAAGTACATTGTTAGTACAACATTGGTAAAGTTGACTGTGACTGCTTATATAAGACAAAGGCTTGTGTCTGATAACACCAGGGAGCTTACCCTTGAAGGGTATCAACACAGTGAGATTCATCTTACATCACAAGAGACATGACTAATTAAAATCTTACGTTTCTAACGTCGTCCAGGCTGTGTTGACAACGACAAGATACATATTTTCACATCTCTTGAACAATGATAGCATTTCAATTTCCATTCAAGCCATGACAGGTAGTTTTCCTAAAACATTAACAGAGTTAATTAAAATTGTTCTGCCCTTGTAAAGCCCTGCTGGTAACCACCTCAAACTGTATTAAATTCATACAGTGAATATACAGGGCAAGATTCCCATTCAATCATATTTCATTCCTTTGTCAAAGAGTTTGTCTCGTTTATAAGTAAACTTCCTGCTACATATCTCTAGAACATACTTCCGCTGGGCCACCTTAATACCCTTGTCTCATTCCACAGTTTATAAGCCATGGCGTGGTTCGTGTCTAAACTACCCTAATTAAAACATTCGGATCAAGACGTCGAAGTTTTTTAATCGTTTTCGGGCAGTTCAGAGACAAACCACGGCAGCTTATGTCATGTTATAAAGAAAACGTCTTATAGAGTATAGACAGCCCTAGATTTCGTCGATTTGTACTGTATTCTCGAATTTAATAGCTGGCCTGTACTGTAGACAATAAAACTTTGACGCAGTGTAAAGTCTGAAATTCTGAATTAAATGAAGATTTTACGGTACAACTTTAGAATACCAGCCACAAAAATTGAACTCAGTATATGCATGGCTACTAATGCTGAAGGTTAGAGAGGGTGTGGGTAAGGGAACCGACCAATTAGCCTTTTCCCAAAAGAGATCACAATGCATTCTGGGATCGTTTGGAGGGACAAAATATATGGTGACAGGCGTCAAATAGGTGAAAAAGTAGAAGTATCTACTATCAAATATCAACTTTTTAGACGACCAAAAATGAAATATCACCTTTTTACATTAAACATTTAATTTAAATGTGTACTGCCATACCCAGGACGTTGGGAAATGGCTAATTGTGATTTTTTCTTTCTTTAACACTGAAACACCGTCCAAGGCAGTGCACACGAGAAGACCGAACAAGGATTAGCACACGTGTACCATGGTTCAAGGCAATGCTGAAAGCTAGATAAGGGGTGGATGTCGGTCAGGGAACGCCACGAAATCACGTAGTCAGGTAGACATGCGACTAGTCACGTAGCCACGAAATCAGGTAGCCATGCACGTAGTCAGGTAGCCATATGGACCAGGTAGCCCGTAGTCACGAAATCAGGTAGCCAGTACCAGCCACGTGGTCACGTAGCCACCTAGTCAAGTAGCCATGTAATCATAGTCTTCGGTTCATATGACGTCACAAAAGTGACGAGGGGTCAACTCTAAAACAAAACACAGTTATCAGAGTCGTTTGTTTTATGTATTAGCCTTGTGTTTGGTGGCAAATACATGGAATTTCGTATCATTTTCTCACTCCAGTACAGCATAAGCATCAATACATTTGAGGCTGACCTCCCATCAGATTCACTGCATAAGGCCGTAGTGAAACCCAAGAATAGCCGCGTAGCCATCAGTAGCCACGGGTTAAAAAGTGTGTTTATATAAAGTGGCTGGGTACTCTGAAGTTAGTCCGAGTTCATTACCTGAGTTCATATTCATCTGTGTGGTATGTAGCTCAGCATGTAGGCCTTGACGATTACGCGTGATCTTTGGGATTTCAGGATTGCGTATACGTCCAAAGGGCAAAGGCAATTATCAATATTATGAATCGGGAACAACACATCTTGGATATAAATGAATGGAACGTCTTTATCATCACTACCCAATAACTATAAGAATCTATAAGAAAAATCTGCGGAAAAACATAATTACTGGCTGCAATAGATGCAAGTATCTTTTTCAAAATACCCAATAAGGCAATAGCTCGCAAAATTCTTATCAAATTTATGGACCAATTATCAATAATTATCACTCATTGAACAATGCCTTAACAATAGCTACAAGAAACCTAAGAAAAGTTTGCGGAAACTAACATTGTGTAAACCAAAATGCAAGTTTCTTTTACAAAATACTGAATGGTTAAATTTAATTATGGACGAACGGATATTAAAAAAGACACCCACTCATGGTCATTTTAATTTTGCTACAAATGGTTCTCAACTCCAAATGTATTGAGACCATTTTGACACTTTACACATTTGTGTAGGTGAGCGCGCGTGATCATGACGATGTTAAATGTTTGCACATGCAGAAGGAATTTTACACGGATAAGTTTGAATGATTGTAAGAAATTTTTGAGGGAAATGACTCGTTGTTTAACATTGAGTCAGTTCAATTAAACATTTCTTCCAAATCCTTCAAAACTTAGAATTTACCTAAACTTTGATATTGTAAACTAAGGCTTTTGTCACTTTGGGCGCTTTCCATCAACACGGCCAGAGATATTGATACAGAGATAAAAATTCGGGTCTGAGTGACCGGTCAGGCCATTAAATGGAAATCACCCTTTCATAATCGTCTTTGAACACAGATATGTTCACTCGCTTTTGCGCTATAATTATCTGCAATTATCTTTATTAACAGAGCTCTCACGGTCTTTTTAATATTTTACAATATCTATAAGAGAGTCAAGAAACCTGGGGAAATTCTGCGGAAAAACTAAGACTAATTTCCTTTTTTCCAAATATGGACCGACGCGTGTTCAGGAACACCCACACATTCTAATGTTTATACGAAGTCAACGGAACAAATTCAGATGACGCGGGGGTTATTTTGGTTGACATAATATCCGAACAAAACAACAAACTTTGCACTCAGGATATCTGCCGAATCAATGAAGTTCATTTTCAGCTATTGAATATAAATATTAATTGTATTTATACTCGGAATAGCCGCCATCAAGATCAAAAGGAGGTCTTATTGTTTATTTATACGAGATAGCTTATCAGTTCTAAACTGTTCTTCTTAGCCGTCCAGTATATATAAGGATCATCTCTTATTAATCCAGTGTTACTACACGAGGAAATTATACTGGATAGCTCTATCAGTTCAATAAACTGTTCCCCAAGAGGTCCAGTAAGGATCATCTCTTATTAACCCAGTGTTATATACTACATGGAAACCAAAATTAAACTGACCCTATATTTATACTGGGTAGCTCTATTAGTTCCAACCTGTTCTTCCTAGAGGTCCAGTGAGGATCATCTCTTATTGATCCAGTGTTACTAAAGGAGGAAACCTAAACTAAACTAACTTTATTTATACTGGATAGCTCTATCAGTTCTAAACTGTTCTTCTTAGCGGTCCAGTAAGGATCATCTCTTATTGATCCAGTCTTATACTCCAGAAGGAAACCTAAACTAAGCTAACTTTATTTATACTCTATCACTTCTAAACTGTTCTTCCTTGAGGTCCAGTGAGGATCATCTCTTATTGATCCAGTGTTACCTCAGGAGAATCCTAAACAAAACGTCCAACTTCATTTATAAGGGATAGGTCTATTGTTCCCAAATGTTTTCCTAGAGGTCCTGGAAACCTAGGAAACCAATGTATCGGAAGAAAACCCGCGGTGTTTGGTAGAGAAAAACTGGAAGCACTCTTCTCACGTGCAACTCAGGAGGTAGAATTATAATCAGGCAACTGAATAATTGCAGGAATAGAATTTGTGTCACAGAGGTGAAAAACACGAGCTCAAAAACCTTCGTCAGAATAAAGAATGGGGAAGTGGCCAACTGACCTTCTGATAAAAACAATTATATTCATTTACGACATTAAATTGTTCCGTGCAACTGACCGACATTTTTTCCCCTCAGTATAACAAAGTTCCTTTGTCCCACTGGAGTCTAAAAACCGTGGAAAAATTACTAAGGACAAAGATCGATTTCCCTTCTGGTGCCCGATTGTACCTCTGGTTGTACGGAGGTCGGATAGCGACCGCTCTAAGGAGAACAGTTTAGAACTGATAGAGCTGTAACCAGAAAAAATAAAGTTACTTTAGTTTAGGTTTTCTTAAAACTGATAGAGCTATCCAGTATGTTTTTATTTTTAATTTTAGTAACACAGAGTCAAATATATTAGGCACGTCAGATTGTGTCAGTTTCTGGTAATCTTCAACATATATGACGACAAAACATAAGATTGTTAAAGTGTTTTGCTTCCTTACACGAGCGCCATGAGGCAAAATGTCGCCAAAATTAGTTATACCAAATCTCGGATGACGTTCGTGTTGACACTGAAAAACGTCGCTATTAGAGAGGTTAAGATACCCCGGTTTCGGCGTACGGGTACGAGTAGTGTCATCTTGTTTTACTGATGTCTGTAATTAGATCATACTTTTTCTGTTTTATTGCAATAGACAATGATATAATGCGAAAAATGTGCACCTTAATTACGAGTAAAGGTACAGACATCGACGAAAATAATATATTGCTAACCAAAATCATGCTACTCGTACCCGTTCACCGAAACCGGGGTATCTTAACCTCTCTACTATTCTTATTTTACGCTATAAACGAGACGCGTGACCGAAACATTGTATGTAAATTTCCCTGTATTTGATGGCGTATAGGGGTTGCTACGGAAACAACCGCGTCAGCGCGCCGGGTGACTGACATCATGCATGCATGACTTTGACAAAAGAGTTTGGCCTTGACTAGCCCTTTTGTTTGGCCAAAAATGTCGACATGACGTAATGGTCTTGTGGTATATAAGCATCTGCTGAGCAGGAATATATCAGTATTGAGTTGAACAACAAAGAGCAAAGACTTACATATAAAGCTATAAAAGAATACGTTTGATTTATTCGGACAAGTTAAACTAACATACAATGCAAGCGGAAAAGTGGGGCAGCCAAGAGAATGTGGATTCGGACGAGCAGGATTTAAGCTCCGAGGAATTGGATGAAATTTTAGAAATAAGAATGAATAAGACAAGAGCGAGACTGTCGCAGAATCTTGAAAATGGCGAAAATCCCCAAGGCAAAGAAGGAATAGTCGGTAAGTTGAGTTTTGTGTTGTATATATTACGATTTGATTTACAAATCCTCAAAAAATATCAATATCAAGAATTTTTGAGCACCTCAGTCCTCACTGGACAGAATCAAGGATTTAAGTATATATACATGGAAATGAAGTGTATATAAATTTTTAAAAGTTCGATTCATATCTGAACTCCCAATCAGGAGGGCTGATGGCCTATAGAAATAGTTGAATTTTTCATAATTGCTCCTGTTTAGAGGAGTAAAAATGTATAAAATTCATACTCGCAATTTCCATCTGCAAAAACTCAACAATATTCCACAATAACCTGTCGTGGTTTGTGACTGAACTATATCTGGACTACCCGTCGTTTGGGAGGAAAGGCCTTCGTCATGCAGAGACGATAAATATTTGTCCATGTGATTTTTTAATGACACGAGCTTAAACGGAATTTAATCGACATTCAAACACAACATTTTCTCGTCGTCCTATATTTGCGTATTTGTTCTTGAGCGCGCGGAAAATTCCCCTTGAAAAACGCACTTAATTCTTTGTTCTCTTTGTCAGAGATATTGAAAGAGAATAAAAATATCAAAAGTTTTTTTTTTGAAAAGTCTTAAAAATTGGTTCCAATACAAAATGAGATACTTGCATAGAAATATTGGTTCGATTTATGACAGAGATAGATGATCTAGGCAAAGAAAATTCGTCCGCATGTCAGTATACATAGAAACGCAGCAAAGAGATCGACGAATCATCTATATCCGTCCAGACCAAGTGGCAACTATCTTACGTAGTTTGCAGCTTGCTGCTCAGACAAATGTGCTTGCGTAGTTCCTATAATACGAAGAACAGGCGATTTATGTAAAGCCCTCGACAAGGAGTGTTTGCATGAAAGTTTACTCAACTCTCATGTCCCGATCAAACGGAAACATTAAGAGTTGCATGAGAGTTGATATATTACTGCGCGCGTGGCAAAGACTCGTATCAAAATTTGAACTAGCTATAGTAGGCCTATATAGCTCAAATGAGGATGAAAATTGTATAGTTTCAAATCTCGCTTGCGTTTGCCTGCCGACTCTCGTCAACTTTGCTTCAAATTTTGATGAGAGTTGAGAGTTTTCGCTACGCGCGCGGTAATCAATCCAGTCAACTCTTATAGTTCTCATCAACTCTCATGCGAACTCTCGCTTGCCAACTCTCATTTTTGTTTGACAAGGGCTGAAATTAACAAGTTGCGAAAACATGATCGAATATGCAGGTTCAAAGCAGGCTTGTGTCAACTTTATGTTGACATGCAGTGTTGGGCTTAATACAGGATATGGCTTAGTTGCCTTATGAATAGATAAAAAATAACCACATTTTAAACAAATATGTGAATTTGCCAAGGTTAAGAAGCTTCAAGCATCTTAAGGCAACTTCAGCTTCGCAAAAACATCGGGCAATATACAGAATTGTATATGGATTTATGTTATAACTGAAAAACAACGAAATGTCAGAGACCTCGTTGCACGCAATATATTTTGATCACCTGCAAACATCATTAAGCTCTTTCCTACGCAGAGCAAAGAGTAACGCCTTCTTTAAAAGCCTCTGCGATTGGAGGTGATCAATATATTACGTGCACGCAATGGTTTTTCAGTTATAATATAAATCTATATATAATTCTGTATATTGCCCGATGTTTTTGCCAAACTTAAGAAACTTTTTTTAAGCTTGACAAAGGGGAATATTTGCCAAGGTCGGTCGTTAAACGTCATTAAGCTCATTTGTTATTCAGTGTTAAGAAGAACACAGTGTCGAAGTAACAGCGTCGCTACTCATATGTCGTTAAATATTTATCTCGTGGCACGGTGGCCCTGATGGACTAATTTCATATCGTACCATACCGACTTAACATTTGAACAAGATTCAATTTCAATTATGTAATTCGTAAGATGCATTTTACATTTTGATAAATATTCTGTACAAAATTCGTATTTCATTGAACCCTATTAAAATATAACCGAATCATTAGCACGATTCAATCAATATTCAAATTAGCCATTAGGCTTACAATTTTAACTATTATAAATAATTCAATTCCACTCAGGACATTTCATACGTACGAGATCAGAATTTAGATTCGCTTTTTAATTTGTCTTATTCGATATCATACGAACTGGTCTAATCGCGTATGACATTTATTCTGTTTCATAGAATTTAAATCATGGTTATTCGCAGCCAGTAATTCTAAAATTTCTCCATTTATTTTGTAGTCTTAACCCAACGTCTGCACAGGGAGCCCACGACACGGACAAAACGGGCACAAAGAATGCAAGATGCTTACCATCGCTCCATGGGAATGGCCAATCACACGCCAGGAAAGACGGGATACGCCAGAGTTACCCGGGATAATGGCTCACCACACTGGACTATACGAAGAAAATGAACATGTATAGATTAGAGCATATTCGGTGAATGTCATAAACTCGACTAAAGCTAGTCACAAACAACTGTAGAATTACTGGAGCATAAAAATAAGAAAAATAAGAAGATACGGCTAAGTCAAGAGTACAAAGTTAGAGGATTATATTTATTAAACTGTAAACTAAATAGCCAAATTTTCTAGATGAGTATGTATTTATGAACACACAAGCACGTAAAGGTATATATAGTACATTTCTATTGAAAAATAATAGTTGTGGGTTTGCACTAAAATGGGGTATTACAGTCAATTTCAGCTGACTTTTCATCGTAAGATTCGCAAATTCGTTGCCAAGTTCAAAAGTTCATAATGAAATTCACAAACAGGTTTGTAAACAAAGCCTCTGATTGGCTATTAAATCAAACCAGCCAATCAAATGCCCAGTTTACAAACCTGTTTGTGAATTTCAT